TTAGTTTGAGTGTATCCTCCATTTTCTGAATGTGCAGGCATTGCGTGTGCCTAGGTGGGGCTACCCTCTGTTTACCTTGGCACAGGTTCTGAATTATGCTGTATCTGTGTGCTAAGTATTTGAGTCTGGAGGGATTCCGCTAGGACTTTTCATCTGAACACATGTAGTCAGTTTTCCTTCTTTTCTTGCCAATAGTGACTTAAAGGAATGGGACCTTTCATGGCAAAGTCTCTCTGTCTGGTATACGTTTCAGGTTGTTTAACACAGTCTACTGCCATCTATTCTCATCGCTTTCAATTTCCTGTGTCTGTCATATAAATCAGAAAGACGATGTATATGCAACCTGTGGGAATTTAGAATGCATGACTGATCTGTGACTTTCATCTTCACCTTTACTGCTAAGGGCAGATAAGGGTAAGGCCCATTCTTGTTCCAGCTAGGTGACTTGTGAGCCATCTCTTCCCTCTTCAGGGAGATAAATGTCACTGGATCATCTGTTATGCTTTTGATGGATTGATTTGATGAACATACATTAATTCTCAACTCAGACTAGAGTTCCCAAATTACGAAGGTAAATTACAGTATTAGCCAAACTGGAGGAAAGTAATTGCAAGTGGGGGGAAGAAAAGAGGCAAGCCAAAACATATTTGCATTTAAGAGGCAGAGGGGTCAGTGCTAGTAGGCAGTGATTGGTGTAAGTTGAGTTGTCCAATTTTTGTCCAGGATGGTGGATTCAGTCTGTTTTTGTCTTAGGTACTCACTTAGCACTGAGTACCTGAATAAGCATGACTCACCTTATGTGTATCCCAAGAACTTAGTATGCAATTTATGTCTCGTAGGTGCTTAAATATAGGTATAAAGTTTAGCACACACTTCAGTGCTTTTCTGAATTGAGTCTCCTATTCCTCCATGATTTGAGTTGGGCTGTAAACTGGAAGGCCCACCTCTTTCCTTGCACAGCAAAGTGTGACCGTAGAGCATTGGCAGAATCTGATTACTCAACTGTAAAGGACAGAGAGGCTCATTTAGGGGAAGAGATATTATATTGCCTTATCGCCTCTGAACTGATTTCACTCCTTGGCCCAACAGGTTTTAAGCTTGGCGAGTTTCTTGAAACCTGACAGGATGTATTGCCAGATCGGTACCAGGCTTTTGAGAAGGGCAGTAGATCAGACAGAGTGGCTTTGGACTTAAGAGGAGTAATAGAAATGACCAACCTGGAAAAATCCCAAAGAAAATAGAAATATGACTTCATTGTACAGCAACAATTATTTACTAGACACAGTAATTTTATAGGTGTTCAGTCACATTTCATCTCTTTTAATTGCCTATTTTCCACAAGACACGTTTTTAACTTCAGAATTAAGACTTAATGGCACCTAGTATTGAACCTGTCTCATCTCCCTTCAGACCGAAATTTTCTGATAATAATGTTTGTGGATCCCACTTCTGCAGTATTTAAGCACTTAACTTGTTTTAACCCTCTGAGCTGAGACAGTGAGATGACATCTGACTTGTAAGAGTGTGAAATCTAGACACAGAGGAAGTAAGTGGTCTGCTGAAGGTGGGTAAGAAACCTGTGGCAGAATTAGCTCTTGACATCCAGACTTGTGGTTACTAAGCCAAAGAATCAGAATCAGACTCCTTTACCTCTTCACCCTTGTTGCAGACTAAATCTCCTGTTTAATCAAGAAACACAAAGGAAAGTAATGCCTGCGGTGGAGCTATACGTTATTTTTTTGTCTCATTGTGTATTTGTCCAAGTTAGTATTTTATTTAGAGGTCATTTTTTTCTGTTTCTTATGTTCTTACAGAATTGTGCAGAAAGAGTTGATTCTTCAGCTAAGTTACTGATGATATATTGCTCACAACTTTAAAATCCTACCTTGCCCCTGCTTTTTGTGTGCATTTAGCAGTATTTCAGGAGGAAATGGGAGATAAAAGCCTTATCTGATTAAGGTAAAACATATTCTGCTTCTCAATTGGCTATGTAGTGTTTTCTCCTCTGTGTAGTGTTTTATCCTCTGTGTAGTGTTTATCTCCTCTCCCAAGTGGGGACAAGGTAGGATTTTAAAGTTGGTGGCCTGGTGTTCTCAACATTACTGGTCTACCCTTATAGAATTTCTTTGATACTTGAAAAGGAATACTGTGGATTTCAAGCCATGGCAAGGGCTCAGTCCTCGAGGATAGACAGTGTTTTGATACTACTCAGGTAGAGCACTTAAGCATGAAAGTAAGTGCATGAAGGATCAAATGTGATGAAAATGCTTTGTTGGATGAATTTTGGAGTGCTTAGCCCCTTGCATGGTCCTTGCACAGTGGTGGGTCCTGCAATGTAAATTATTCATGTCACATCTTCCTAATCAATTTTTGAAAATGCTTTTACAGTTTAATTAGAACGTGTATGGAAGAGTCCAGTAGTTATGACTTGGATTTTGTCCATTCCTTTTTTTCTTCCCCTTCCCCCTTTCCTCAATCCCCTCCCCGCTTCCCCCCCTTCTTTTTTTTCTTTTTTCCTTTTTCTTTTCTTTTAATCTCTGAAAGAGGAAGACATAAATGCCTGTCCTGACCTTCAGAAATAGAAATGACAAGTCCCCGGGGCTATCAGCATGGAGCACAAACAGCCAAACTGTATACATCAAAACACTGTTGTGTAGCAGATAACACTTATGCTAGCCCCTCTCATTTGGTTATTACATCTGTGATCCCCCCTCTGCTTTCTCCTTTCGCCTCTGCATGGTCAGGGACTGACCTGAGGAAGACATGAGGAGAGACCAACATTGTGTCTTGACCTGCATCTAGACAGATGCTTTCTGCTTTCCAAATAGGCTTTTATTCCAGTGTTCCTCTTTCCTCTGAGCCCACTGCCTGGGTTGAATATCCCTCATCTCCTGTCTCCATGACGCGTTCTCAGTTACCACTACCAGCAGGTGCCACTGTCCCATTGATCACTTGTGCCTAGGAGCCAATGGTACTCTCACCCACCTTGGAAGACCAGCTGTCTCTTGCAGCCTAATTGTTTACTGCCTTTTATCAGGGAGCTGTTTAGGTTCTAGCACTGGTGAAGAGTAGGAAGCTTTATCTGTCAGACTTTTACACTTTATGGTTTCACCTGTTTTCTTGTTATTTCCCCCTCCATCTGTGTCTTTGGGCAAATATGATATTTCCAAACTGGTACTTGGAAGGCCCTCCTGCAGTGTCCAGTAATGCACCAAAATAACAAGGCTTTGTGCTCCTCTCAGCTTCAGCACTGATATTTTGCTGGTTTGTGTCAGGTTCAGCACTAATACCTAGCCTGTCTCCTGTGATAAAGAGCCTCCCCTCTTCCATTTTCTTTCCCTTTGTGTTGAGGTTATAACAGTAGAGATGTCTGTGGCCACAATCTTTACAGTAAAATTAATTTTTAAAAATTAAATTCAGGTTTCTAAGGCAGGTAACTGTTTGTAATTAATTGGTCAGATAATAATTATTACTTCAATTCAGTGTGATTCACATTCCTTTACTGATAAAAATAATGTTATCAGTTACTCATTTTTCTGTTGTGTCTGCTTCATATAGTTCTCTTGTGAATATCACTTGCATTTTACTTTTGCAGATTTTTTTTTCCATTTCAACTATTCACTGTATAAATTTTGTTTCCTCCTGTGTTTCTCCTCTTGTGAGGTTTTATTTGCCAGTTGTAGCAAATGAGGTGGTCTTATGTAGAGTTATGAAGTTTAGTTTTAGTTTTTTGAGAATTGGTATTCACAGCTGTATTCGTGCTGACCTAATCAACTGGCAGCCTGAAGCTGTGTTAACTGGTAAATTGATGCAGCCTGACAGACCAGCTGAGCTCCAGGACATAGAAGCTGTTGTACATCTTTGGATGAAAAATACAAAATTGTTTGAGAGCTTTAGCAGTGGCCAAATATGGAAATGTCCTGTAAAGCTCAGGACATGAATGCAGACTGCTTCCATACTTGAGCTTTGCGGGTCATCTTTTCTTCTTTCACTACCATGGGGATAGTCTCAAAGATGCAGGTTTTAGCAGAGACATGGACTTTAATCCCATTTCAAGCAGCTCGCTTTTTAATATTGTGGAGCGCATAAAGGCCCTAAAGAAAGAGCATGCAAAATATTGTTGAAGTATATTGGAGTTGCTAGTCTGCAGCTTTGGATGAACTTGAGCTGAATTGTCCAAAGTACTTTAACCTTCCTTTAGTCTCTACAGGAAGGTCAACTTACTGTAAGAGAATCTGGCACACAGTAAAGTGACTTGTACCTTTGACTCTGTAAATTATTTTCCCCGTTCATTCCTAAAAATCAGCCAAGGCAGGGACTGACACATTTACTGAGAAATTACAATGCAGAGTGCACATCTGAGGTAAAAATAAAATTAGCCTTCTGACAATTTTAAGCTTGCATTTTTGGTCCACCTCCTTTTCCCAAAATGTTAGCAGGCAAACATTTGCATGTGATTTCAGAACATGTGGCTTTATGACATCTTTTTGAAAGAATAATTATTGGTCCAAATTTTATCTCATGAGGAAGTGTGTAGTGCGAGGAAGCCTTTACAGAAACATTGGGGAAAGTGTTTTCATATGTTTTTGAATAATTCCTCTGTCAACCACTTGTGTTCTAGGAAAAAATATTCCACTGTGATGGTTGGATCCCATTCCTTATGTTTTAAGTTGATATATGAAAAAGAAAAGCTGAAAGGGAACAGTCTCTTTACTGGTTGAAGTGATATCTATTTGTGTGTGTAAAGAAAATAAGGTGAGCATATTTCGACAAGTACGTTGAATTGCAGAAATGCCTTCTAGTGTGGTCTCGGTCATACAAAGCAGAAAACGCTGCTTTTTAAGCAATTGGATTCTTTTTGTTAGAAAGTGATCCTTACTGTGCTCTCTCGTTATGAACTGCAGTAGCCCAAGCCATTTCTATTAATAAGTAATTGTTCATTCTCTAATGCTGTGTGCTGCCTTTTGCATTTTTCCTGATAATAGCATGTTCTTCTTTAGCCTAAATCCCTACAGCTATGATGAGAGCTGTCTCAGCAGTAGTGAAGACCACATCCCACTGGCTGCCTTGCCCTTGCTGGCTATTTCGTCCCCTCAGTACCAGGATGCAGTTGCCATGGTGATTAGCAGAGCCAACCAAGTTTATAATGAATTTCTCAAATCTGCAGATGGGGCTGGTTTTAATGGACAGGTAGGACTGTTTTCTCTTACATCAAAGTATAATTCCTTGGGGGCAAGGCTGTTTTTTGTTAGGCCATTTCTGATTTTTGCATCAAAGGTTTGGAGTTATGGGCATAGGAACAGTGCTGCAAATATGATGAAGGAATGTTAGCATGGGATTACCGATGTAAAATGCCTTCTCAGTGTCCAGCATGAACAAAACAGTCCTGGAATCCTGTCAGTATATAACCTGGGCTTACTCAGTTGGTAGAAGATGCTGTTCCTTATCCCACAAGCAGTTTTATCCCTAAACTCTTACTGATTATTG